ATCGGCTCTTAATCCGAATGCTCTTGCATTTTCTCCGGGTTTTTGCTTGAGTGTATTGAACTCTAGTTGTAAGTGTGTTGTGCTTTTGCGGCTCAAATAGCAAACTTCTAATTCCTTCTTTAGTTGTGCGAAATCTCTTATCTCTCGCGTTTGAAAGTCTATCATCGCTCTTCCTTTTAGCTTTGTGCATAGCACTGCTTCTAATAGCGTTCCTTCTTCCATAAGATTTATGTTTTTTATTGCATATGACGCGGCGCTTAAGAATTCTTGTAATTTACTCGAGGTTCCGTCGAACTCGGGTATCATGTCTCGTGCCTCTTTTAAACGTAGATATCCGATTGCGCGCTCCGCTTGGTTCCGAATATCGTATGACGTTCTTCCGTACGTTACTTCGAACGGGAGGTTACTTGGCTCGCGTCTCGCGTAAAATTCGCGGCGTTCAGGATTCGCCGTTTCTAGTTGATTTACGCGATCTTGTAAGTTGCGGATTCCGTTTAATATCTCGTCGAGAATGGAATCTCTATCGTCTCGCGGCGGTCCGGCCCGTGCGGGTATCCGGTTACGGTGATTCGCCGGGGTGCTTCTTTGTGATAGCACTCGATTAAGACGGTTTATTTCTTCGTCTATTTCCTCTGGGGTTATCGGCGCGTTGTCATTTACGTTATTCGCGTCGTGGTTGCTATTTGTTGCTTCCGCCATCTCGATTACGTTCACGTGTCTCGGGGCAGAATAATACTCTTGCGGGTCAAATACGCTGCTATCATACGAGGTCAATGAGAACTCTCGTCTGTGTGTTCGCCTACTGGTCGTACTGTTCGCGTCTTCGGATTGTGCGTGCGCGTGTGAGGGGTGGAGTCTATTTTCGTCGGGGCAGTTATTTTGTCCTATTACTCTCGCGTCTAAAATTATAACGGAATCGTCGAATTGTTCGCGTTCGATTACGCTGTTCGGGTGTAATTCCGGTTCTGATTCGCTTTCGCTTAAGTAGTATTCGTCTAAATTTCTACGCACGGTTTCGCGATTATCGCTTACGACTTCTTCGGTCGTTTGCACGGGGCTTAACGGTCTATTTCTACGCGCTCGTCGTGACGTCTCGCTATGGAGCCACGATTGGTTTAGTTTCGCAGGTGGATTTTCGTTTTCTGACATTTACGGTGATTGCGCTTTACATAATTTGCTTAATCGACTTACATTACGGTCGCTAGTCGCATGTTGCTGGTCGGTGCTCGTGCCGCCTTATCTGTCGGTAAGCCTCCGTTGAGGTAGGTCGGCGCCTTCTCGAGTTACGCTGCTCGCTTGTCCCTCGTCGGCCGCTACCGTGTTGTCCGCTGCTTTTGAATCTGGCTGCCTGTGTCTCCGTTGAGGATGTTGCACTGCCTCACTGATTCACTTATTTTTCTGTTTCAGCTGCCGTTCCCGTCCTGCCACTGGATCCCTCACGCTGCCACCATTTGTTGTGCCCCTTTTTTGCGGAGGGACACTTGGGTTCTTTTTGGTCCACGGAGGATGCGGGATATATATATATATATATATATATATATATAAATAAACGGCACTTTTAAATAAAAGATAACTTTTAATAATCACTCTGCGTTACAATCGTTATTCGCGTTTGATGCCCGTTACTGCTCTGCTCCCTGACTCCGATTGCCCTGTCGTCTCCTGTTGTCGCTTCCTTTTGAATCCTCGTCTTGTCCTTCAATATCGCTGAGTTGCTCGATCGTATCTGGGCCGATCGCGCAACTCATCTCTTGCTGATTCGGCGTTGCGTAATTCTTTCGGGCTTTCGCGGTCGCGTTCCCTATTGTTCTTCGCGTCTTTATTCTTAGTATTATTTGTTATTATGTTATTACATTTTAATTGGGGCCGCAACAAGAGCCTGCACAAAGCTTCCAGGTTCGTTTATTTCAGCAAGCATTGACTCAACCAGGCGACGAGGTGGTTTCAACGTAGCTCTGTCACGTAGCTCACGTTGAATCAGTTTCGGAGTCTCCTCTGGTTTATCCTCTTCATGAAGGTCTTCAGATGATGTATCTTCAGTTGAAAAATTCGATAATGCGCCTTTTTCATCCTTCACCTCTTCACTTGTAGATTTTTGTTGAGGGATCCAAGCAAGTGTCTTTCTTGGATGTTCTGGCTCAAATACAACATCCCTGCTGCGAATAATTTGATTGGTGGACTTCAACCAGATTCTATAACCTTCCATATTATCCGAATAGCCAACAAAAATGCCAGGTTAAGATTTCGAGTCCCACTTCTTACGTCGTTCCTTCGGCACATGAATATAACATGGCGTCCCAAAAACACAAAGATTTTTCAAGTGTATACTCTTTCCTGTAAACAGTTCATATGGGGTCTTGTCCTGAACACGACTCGGTCCGGTTCGATTGAGAATGTACACGGCTACGTTGACAGCTTCCGCCCATAAGAACTTTGGTAAATTCTTGGATAATAGCATCGTACGAGCGAGTTCAACCACAGTTCGATTGGTACGCTCAGCACACCCATTCTGTTCTGGAGTATAAGGGTTTGAGATTGTTAGTGTGACGCCATTCGTTTTTAACAGTTTCCGGACCGCTTTATTGTCAAATTCCAAGCCTCCGTCGCATTGAAAAATTTTAACTGATCTTCCGCATTAATTCTTCACGACTTGCAACATCTCATTGATCTTTTCAACAGTTTCAGACTTCTTCTTTTTCTTCAAGAAATAAACTATGCGTAGCCTTGAATGGTCACACGTGAAACACACAAAGTATTTTGACCCGCTAAGTGACGTTGTTTCCATGGGACCACACAGATCGGCATGAATAACTTCACCAGGTGATTCAGCACGCTGTTGACGTAGTTGAAAGCTGTTTCGGTGTTACTTCCCCTCAATGCAGGAACCACAAAACTGATTATCGTCAAAAAAGTCAATCTGATTGTTCACGAGAAATTTTTTTACATGATTTTTATTCTGGTGGCCGAAGCGTTCGTGCCATACGTGTAGAGAGTCTTTTGATGCCAAGTTGACCTCTCCTATGCATGTCTTTTCAGGCGGTCTTACACGAATTACCACCTTGAACAGCTGATTAACACGCACTCCGCGAGCTTTGATAATACCCTCTTTTACAAACTCACAACCGTCCTTCAAAGAACTGAATTTCATACCTTTGTCCAGAACTGAAATTACCGAAAACAAGTTTCGACGAGCAGCCGGCACAAACAACATATTTTCCATTTGTCCTGGTAACCATTTTCCGTCAACTAGAGTTTCAATCTTGATTGTTCCTTTTCCTAGGGCGTCCATTGTAGTTTTATTTCCAATATAGATCATCGCTGGTGTTCTAAAATAGTCAAACAAGTCACTTCGGTTTGTCACGTGATCCGTTGCACCGAAATCCACTATCCACGAATCATTGTCGAGCTTAGCTGTCATGGCTTCGCAAACAAAAGCTTCTTCTTTCGGATTGCTATCTTGCGTTTTCTTCTGTTTCCTAGGGCAGTTCTGACAAAAGTGCCCTTTTTCTCCGCAATTGTAGCACTTATAGTTCGACTTGCTTTTCCCTTTTTCATTAACCTTTGACTCATTTGATTGTTGTGACTGTCCTTTCTTAGCGTTACCACTAGTATTTCCGCGATCGTGTCTTTTAGATTTGTTCACCACTAGTGCAGCCATCTGTTCCTGCTTTCCGACTCAAATCTTCCGGCGTGCGCCGTCAGAGGTTAATACCTCAAGCAAATCACCGAACGTTTGCTGATTCTCTGCTCTTGCCCACCATGCCTGGCGAAGAGTTTCGTATTCCTCTGGCAATGTATCCAGCAACTTAACCGATAGCGATAATTCGTCCGGCTTTACATTTAATTGCTGCATGCGTAGGATTAGTCCTTCGAATTTGGCAATATAAGTCACCATGTCGTCCGACAGATCTATATTGAAATTGAAAAATTCCGATTGGACAGTATGCGAAGCTTGTTTTGTCTGTTGTTCATAAATCGTGTGTAACTTCAGTCACATATCCCGCGCAGTCTCACATGAAACCAGAAGCGCCATTACTTTCGTATCCAGCGTCTTAACTATGATTTGACTCGCGGCACGATCGGCTTTGTCCCACTTTTTGAGACCTTCTCGATACTGTTCTTGTTGCTGAGTTTCCGCATCCGCCAGCAGCAGATTCGGTTTTAGAATTTCACCGATGCATACTTCGTATGCATTTTCCGTTCCACGCAGTAAATTCCGCGCGGCGAACTTCCAGACGTTCCAATTATCCGCGCCACGAAGCTTCTCAATTCCTTGATATTCCATCTTCCGGTCGTTTCCTCACAGGACACAAAGACAATGTCAATGCGTTTTCCGCGTTCACGCCCGTACATGAGATCCTCGCTCACGAGACAACGCCCACGATAAACCGCGCTTTTCGGCAACTACGTACTCGGCAACCTCGTTCACGACAAAACACGCTCACGGCGAACCACGCTTTGCTACCATGTTAGAATAATCTAAATAATTAGGTGCGGACAAAGAAACGTTTTATTTGGTTATTGTACACCGCTTTCGGGGACATATATAACGTCGGAAACGCGCGACTTGAACGTGTTAACGTTGCGCCATAGAACTAAAAACTATACTAGACGCGCGTGCTGCCACAGGCAACAACCAAGTGGGGACAAAGAGAGAGATAGCATATAGCATGCGCTTAAGACTGCCAACCTAGACATTACAAGAATTTAAGCGTTTTTCCGTTTTATCTCAACTTTTAAACCAAACTTTTGTCCGAAGCATTTTTTCTAAAATTAAAAATAAAAAAGTTTTGGAGTAGGTAAATTAAAATGACTCACCCTGTATAGAGTATTGCAAGCGCGCGCGACATACTGTACAAACTAAAAAATCATGTTTTTGATACCAATTGAAGTCTTATAAAGACGGATCCATGGTTATCAGGATGTTCAGAATATCAACTTATTATACTTTTATGTGCAATATATTTCAAGAATAAATATCTATAATACATATAATTTGTTTCAAATAATGACTGCCATAGTTTTATATTAATATTAATTTTTATTTGTGCCAAGAATTCTTTTAGGAAAATTCATTTAGAAACACTTGCGTCATTTTTACTAGACTTTACGAGAATTAAATCTTCTAGAATTATAGTTTAACATTGGATCAAGGTTATTATCGTATATATTGACGTTGCATATTCGTGATCGCCGAACAGTTCAGCGTAAAATCTTATTAGCAACTTCTGTATTCTAACATTCGTTTTCCTCAATTATCATATTATTTGTAATTCATCAGTTCCTTAAGCGTAACTCATACTGAGTTGATATAGCACAACGTCGCCAGAGATTCGTAGAGTATCCGCGATCGATGATTGGAGTCTATGTTTAAATTCGCCGATCATCTTGTTACCCAGCCATATCGTGTATCCTTCGTATTCGCAGCGAATGCTGTCAAATAAATATTTGTTGTTAAAGAAACTCGTAAATAATATTTATAGGAATCACATGCCGTTCGAATCGTAAAGGTCTTACGTAAGCAAGAAGTCTCGACCGGGCATCCAGGATAAATGGCCTTGATGTCGCTCCTCATGACTCCACACGCCGTTGTTCCAGCAATTCATGACAACATATGGGGCACTAGTGCCATATAAAAAACGCGGGTTTAAATGCAGCGGTATAACGGGATGAGGATAAATGGCTTTACCCTTCTGCAGATTCACATAAAACCTGCAAGGGATCATGATATATCTTGTCATGCGAATAAACTTGCAAAGGTACGGAAACGGTTAAATTACAATATTAAATGCTTACGAGTGTGGCAGTAGCTTCAATCTTCCGGCGATGAATAAACGAGCACCGACACGAAATTTGCTACCAATATCTACGGTCATTGGAACATCCTGTAAAAAGAATGAGATCTCAAAATCTTGGGTACTCGCAACTCTTGCGTTCGCGTAAAAGAGTCACGGTGTGGTCTCACTTCGCGAGTACTTGGCGCGAAACACTGCCATGTTTCTTGATATTCAGTTTCGCTCGTGCTTTAAAATAACTAAACATAGATGTAATCAAACAATATACCGGTTTATATATATATGTATATATATATATATATATATATATATATATATATATATATATAAATGAATAAAAAGTATAATACAATAATTTTAAGAAAATATACATATTCAGTATATATATAGAAATATCTTCACACAAGTTATTAAAAAAAAAAAAATACATATCATATATGTACAAGGTGGTCTAGAGCGATCCTCTAATGTGATATGAGAATTGTGTTCAGAACTGATTAAGGAACTATTTTAAAGACTGACAAAAACTTGGCAAGCTATTTTACACGCTGAGCTTGGAAAAAGTATGCAAGATTCACACAGAAATATTATTATTAGGCTACCAAGATCAAGCACAGGCTGTAAATGATATTTTCTTCAATAGATAAAATACCTACATAAAAGTAGTATGACTGAAAATTGAATGGTTTGCAACATATTACATACCTTAATTTAATATATTTCGACATAAAATATCAAATATTTTATAAAATTATTTTTTCCTAACGCGAGCGTGAAATGGGCCGCTTTTCGCGCTTGTTTTGAGTGAGCAAAACGATCCATTTCGCAATGATGACGTAAGCGTTGAGAAATGGATCCATTTCTTAAGGGGATGCTGGAGCCGTAGCCGAACTCGATCGGCGTCGGTAAAGAAGACCGGCGAACTATATCTGTCCTTGTATAGACAAAGATATAGACAAGGATAGCACGCTACATTGCACGCACACATACGCACGATGCACATCGACATTATACTTTTATATTACGCTTCCAAATCTTGATTTGGAGGGTTTATCGATGTTTTTCTTGTTGTGCAATTCGGGGGAACTTGTTTTCGCGTTCGTACTAATGGTATATCTCTTATATGAAATACATCTTGTGACGAGCTGACAGCTCGCCGCAACTCGAGACGCCATTTGGGATAAAAGTAGGATAACGAAATCTGTATTTCCGTAATTTTTTCTCGTTTTCTATATAAAATCAGAGTTCCCCCGAATCATTAATGTATGTACTGCAATTCTGGAGAAGGATTTTTAATTCCGTCAAATTAATACGACGCTACGTGCCGACAAAAAATGCCGGTAAAACAGACGGCTCCAGCATCCCCTTAACTAGTGGAGAAATAAAATTGTAAAACAAGCGCGAAAAGCGGCCTGTTTCACGCTCTTGTTAGGAAAAATAGTATGAACAATGAACAACTCGTGAGAAGAGTGGTCGAGCCCAAATGAGTGTGATGGTTGCACGAGCGAAGCGAGTCACTCGTGCGACCAACTTCACACTCATTTAGAATCGACCACTTTTCCCGCTTGTTGTACAATATACTATTTAACAACTTTACTTTAATATTTTGTAATGTAAAATAATGAGATAATATAAAAAAATATAAAAAATATAAAAGGATCGCTCGCGATGGAGTCACGCAACGAGCGGCGAGTGACGAGTGACATATGACACCGTTATTTAAAAAATGACGCAATGAGCGACGCCTGACATATACGACACCGTTGCTAAGAGATCCAACAACTATAAGTCATTTTACATTTTACATGCCTAGGTATTCTAAGAGAAAAATTTTTGGTATTTGCGACTATAATTGCATAGTAAAATAATTATGGTAGGGGTAACTATTTTATAGTTATTATTGCTATAATATTAGTAAATGTAACTTTCCCCCTGTTATTGGTATGTATCAGTAGTAAATACCAATACAGCACAAAATGTTTTCAAAAAATATTTCTGAACAATGAATATTTCTAT